ACCCACAAACCATGAGATCCTGACCTGAGCTCAACCGACTGCGCCACCCAGGAGCCCCCTGCACCTTCATATTCTTCACCAACCACCATATCTTGGCGATCTTTCATCAGTGGGCTAAAGGCAGATTTAATGGCCACACACTACTCCCGTCCGCAGACAAGCATTATTTGCTTGTACAAGGGGGCAGGGTTTTGAAGTATGGATACATTTGCAGGGGAGCGGAGGCCAGGGGCAAATAGGAATTTAGATGGCAGGAGCAGTTGAGGAAGGGGCCAAGAGGTGGGGGAAGCCTGGCTGGTTTTTCCCAATGAACCCATTCTGTGTGTGTGTGTGTGTGTGTGTGTGTGTGTGTGTGTGTAGGGGTGTGTAAGGCATGCCGTCCGCATAGCCCACTTTCAAATCCAGAAGCAGAACAGTGTTCCCAGCATGGATGGGGGCTGGTGTCGAAGGGACCCAGTGTGGGTTGCCTGTGGTGACAAAGCCTCGCAGCCTCACCTCTAAAGTGCTTATTTTATTGGTCATGTGCCCATATTTCCTATATGGTAAATACGGTATCTTATTTTTAACTTTCTATTGAAACATAATACTGAAAAGTGGGAAAATCACATGTCCAGCTTCACACCGTGAACACATCGTGTAACCAGCACCCAGATCAGGAAGCAGAACAGGGCGGGCGGGCCCCGGGGCCCCTCCTGGTCCCCACCCACCGGGGGGCCACTCTGCTGACTTCTCACACCAGATATCACCATTGTCTGTGTTTGAACTAAAAGGATCAAAGGAACCACACTGTGTGTTCTCTTTGGAGCTGGCATTTTTCCCACTCCGGTTCAGTATTCTGTTTGTGAGATTTCTCCAAGTTGTGTGGGTTTATCCGTTTTCGGTGTGGGTTGTAAATCCTCAGAGCTCTGCGTAAACATATGGGTTGTAAGAGAGATATATGTAGAAATCTATGGGTGTAATCTATGTGTGTATACGCAGACACGTGCACACACGCACACGCATGCACGCACACGCGGACACGCATGCACACACGCGCGCACATACACACGCACACGCGCATACACAAGCACACGCGACACGCACACGCACGCACACACGCGCACGCAGATCCGTATCCGGAGCGGGCGCAGGACAGGGTCGCTTCTCCCGGCCGGCTGCCGGCACGCGCCCACCTCCGCTGGGCGGCGACGGGGACCCGGGGGTCGGGTCCGCGCCGCTGACGCGCGCTCTCCCCGCAGGCCGAGGAGGCGGGGAGCCCCCGGCAGCCCCGCGCAGACCGCTGCCCGCCGCCGCCGCGCTCGCTGCCCCCGGGCGCCTGCCAGGCCGCGCGCTGCCAGGCCGACTCC